TTCTACCGATCACTGCTGAAGGTGGCAAAGCTAATTTAACGATAAACAAATGAATGGATGAATGAGCGTCGGGAAGTAGGGTCAGAGTGGCAATATTCCTACATGCATTCGATATCCGAATGATTTCGGGGGACCAACCGTTTTCGTCTGATTGAACGAGGTACGACTTGCTTCCATTACACGAAGTGCGTTTTTATCCCATAGTCTATATACGTCGATTTAAGTAGTTTAGGTCAAGAAACAGAAAAAGACGTCAGCAGTAGGTCGGTACTGCGTACCGGCGGTTCGCTGACGCGCAAACACCACCAGTCGCACGTGGACTAAGAATACTGCGAAGGTTGCCTGGTCTCCTACGCAAGCTCGAACCCCCGCCGTCGGAGTACAAGGCAGGCGCTTGTGATTCTTAAAGCTACGGGAAAAATAAAAAGAAGATAATAATGACACATGCATGGCTGATCAATAGGGTTTGTTAAACTGAGGGAACATCGACCGCTAATGAATCGACTGATGAGCATCCAACGATTCGAAAACAAATCGGCTTCCCTCGTAAAGATTACTGACGCTACTTACAAATCAACCCAACTCGAAGTCACTAGATGCGCTGGTTATGAAATGCAATCAAAGTGTCAATAAGACATTATATAAATATTTCCCTTATCACTAAAAACGCGGCAAACCTCTCCTTTCGAACGGATGAAAAAGAGCATGTAATCGTAAACGTATACACGATCGAGGAGAAAAGCAGTGCAGTAAAAACTGCACAACTCAGATCAGATCTTCCAATTCGTTGGTTTGTCTATTGGTTGACTGGCTGGCTTGTTAAGCGACCGACTGGCCGTTTACCCGGTGTGGAAGTCAACGTTGGAAAGATTGAATGTCGTCACAGTGATCAGTATATGCCTGGGTGACTGAAGTCGGCCGGTGGCCGAGTGGTCTGCACGTTTGCTTTGTAGCCATAAGGTCACCGGTTCGAATCCGCGTAGGGGTGGGCGTCCTCGCGGTATACTCAGCCCGCGCGCGACTAGTGGTCGGGCGGCAGCGAAGCGCCGTTACGGCGTACAGCTGGCACATTATTTTATTTTTTATTTACTGGGTGACTGAAAGCATGTTGTTGCATACCGTGTATGTTCGATTCTTATGCCCCACAGGACCGTGCATGATGTGCATGCTGTTCCCGAAGAATACTAACCGCTACCAGCAGAGGTGCAGTCATCCGTGACAAAGATTTGTTCCATTATGGAACAGGCCATACACTACCCTGTAGGCATTTAGCATGCATGTTTTTTGAAAGTTGGATGAATGGCTTACGCGCATTCCACTGTAGATTGTACATCGTCAACACTTTCTGGTAGTATCATCATGCGGATTGATCAACTCGAGCGCGGTGCATGCATTCCGTTTTCTATCTTTTGGACTTACACAAGGTGTGGGGCAAGTGCATGGATCTGGACTAACTACAATCACTCTGCATACACCGTCGCACAATAGTTCTCAGAAACACTAATAGGCAAATCCGAGGAACGGATTTTGTCAATTACTACTACTATTGGTTATTCACCCAATTAGTTAAGTAGCTCATAATGTCAAATCTAGAGAACACTATTCAATGGGTATCCATCGACGAAAGAATGCCGGGGAAAGTACTGCTAAGTCGCCAGGAACTAGGCGCACGTAGATAGGTAGCGACAATAAGTTTCAGGACTAGTCCCTGTGAGCAACTAGTCAAGCACTGCAGAAAAAACTTGCCTAAAGTGGCTGGTTAAACGCACGCCTGTGGTGAAGATCTATTCTGTGGAGACCAAAAATTAGCAACTAACAAGTGAGGACATTGAAATTTTCAGTGCATCTTAATATCTAGAAACTGTGGTACACAGAATTCGGTAAAAAGATGTACACAGCATAACAGACCAATAAAAATGCACATATCACATTCAGCTAGTTGAACGGATCAAAAGAGGTTAAAAAGTGGAAAAAACGTACTTTTGTTAACAATGTCTGTGCCACTCGCTGCGGATATTCTTGATCGGAAATGAGAACGCCACAAAGATTGTCCCATCGGACGAAAATGTGGCAGATATAATCTGCAAAAGCCCATTAGTAAAGCGCATGAAACACAGCACCTTGCTCCTTGACGAGGCCACGTTCGCCTGGGTTAGTTTTTTCGGACATCAGCTTGGCGGTGAAAACCATAAATTCTTGGACGGTGCTCCGTTGAAAATAACGGAATGTGGACAAATCATGGGAAGCGTAGAGAAGTTTACACTGATCATTAGTCCGGAAGAGTATTTGAAGAGAAAACAGCTTCATAGTGGGTTATTGTAGCTAAAAACCAAACAATTGACAATTAGATCGTAAGAGCACCCACGATGGCAAAAATGTGTAACAAAAGATAATAAGCTATAAACAAATAAAGAGTACGAATTTGAGTGATAACTTTAACTCACATTGATGCAAATCAGAATCCGTGGTCTAGCACCACTTGATGTCGATTCACGGAGACGGACCTACAAAGATAATAGTTGGGTGTTACTCGTTCGGAGTATTGCACTAGACGACCAGTTCCATACTTGTGTGCAGCAGTCAGGCTACGGCTCAACTCCCAGGTGTAGGCACTGCTATCTGAAGCATTTACTCATAAGCCCCAGAGGAGCGGGCCATACTTGCTACAACGGTTAATAACTCATTAGAGATCATTCTGTTACGGCTAAAGTGCTCGGACAGCGATATCAGGTGGTGGCCGCGTAGCCTGTGGTTATTGCGATGGATTTGCAGACAATAGTAGAAGGGTTGAAGTTAAGCTGTCGCCAGAGTGGGACAGAGCGAATATTTGGAAACAAAGCAGCATTCAGCGCACATAAAGCATCTGGATGGTAAGCATCGGCTGCAAAACTTAAATCATGTTCAACGAGCGAGAATGAGATTATGGATGAAAGTGGACGGGAAGAATCATCAGTCAGGTGGATAATCGCCGGAAAAATAGGTAACGATAAAGGTAAGACTGCTTGTGTGTCTCCGCAGCTACCAGTGCGGGTTGAACCTTTCGAGAGACTACCCCGTATGGAAGCAGGTACCAATGAGATAGTACCATGGATGATCAACATCAGTACACGTTAGCTGAGGGTGAGAAACACACACCTCAACTAATGTGCCGCAATATAAAGTGATATGAGACTAAAAAATTACATTACAAAAAATATTATGTTAAATACTATATTATGCGTTTTGTATGAGATCGGGATTGGAGGGGGAAGCTAAAAGAAGAAGGATGGACAAAGAAACTCACAACAAATGCCACTGGAGCCGGCTCTTGGCCATATCAGCAAGTGTGTCCAACCAAACGTGTTCATCGCCCTTAGAGCCCCAGCCAGGCAGTCGGGATGTACCAACCGACACATGGATGGTATTACTTCGCTCTATGTCTAGTTACTAGACTGTTGAGATTACATACATACATACTTCGCTTGATCTTTCTTACAATAATTCTCTTTATGCCTTGAATCTGTTGGACCCTTGTTCCTGAATACTTCAACGATACATTCGTATTGTCTCATCGACATTAACCATTAATTTATTCCTAAGACTACTTTCTTGATTTTATTACAGTGCCTTTCCTTTCCTCCTTATATTTATGCTAAAAGTCGGTTAACTATCTGTATGCTTCCCTACTCACCCTTTGTACATGACCGTAATTTGTTCATCATACTTTGTTGAGTGTGTCTAACATTGTACAGAACAAACGTTTATTCATTTAGCTATCAATTTATCTACTCATCCCACATCAATATCAACTTTTATGTTACACGGCTGAGCAAGCCATAAATCTTCACCTAAAATGAAAGCTGAAAAGAAAGCAACTGAGTTCACTTAGTCTCACAACAACTGTGTAACACACATTACATCTTGTTTGATCGGGTCAATTCGGTATATATATATATATATATATATATATATATATATATATATATATATATATATATATATATATATATATATATATATATATATATATATATATATATATATATGTTTGGCGGCATCCGGTTTTGGATCTGCCTGTCACTGTGGCAAGCCACAGGAAGCCTGCGCCTACAGAGGGACCATGGATGGCTTGCGCTGCACCACCCACACACCCCATATCCAGTGTAAACCCGAAGGAATAAGACCGGGAGGCATGCGGATGGGAGCCACGTTTCATCAACGGAGCCGGCCCACACTCCTTCACAGCCAAACACAAGCACGCTGTATTTGGGGAATTAAGCGCACACAAGGCGGTGGCTGGACCGTAGTCCGCTCCACACTGAGTGCATGGAACCGCTCTTTGAGTCTAGCACGGCCACAAGGACCGTGCACCCCGTCCCCTCCAGCAACGACCAACTGTCTCCAGAAACCAGTATGGAAGAGGTAGCGGGTGATAGACAGGTAGGCACCTTGTCAACATGCACATCAAGCGCAGCCACATGGGGGATATCAAGCAACAGCCAATCACTTGAGAGAGAGAGAGAAAGAGAGAGAGACACAATGAAAATAACTCGATTAATGCATAAGGAAACGGTGACATAAACCTTAAGTTAATGAGCATAGGAAATAAGTTGTTTACAAACGAATCCTAGATAAGTTCACGAGGTGAGAAAGTATACTATACGGAAATGCCACGAACACAAAAATGTTATGGAAATCGAATACAATTGGCTTAAGCGAGGTGTGCAAGTTAATGGAATAGAGTACAGGTAGACATTTAGATGAGAAAGAAAAGCATTAAGGCAAAATTGAAAACCCACTACCTGAAATAAAGAGACTTAGCATGCAAGCACGCGGTTAGTAAAAAGAATTCAGCGTATCGACAGACGCTGCGCCGGTTTTGAATACTTCTCTGCAGGACCCGTCGTCGCTTCTGTAGTGGTCCCGAGTGGCCTCGCTCATGGGTCACTAGACACTAGACATTTATAGGAAAAAGAAAGGCATTAGGACAAATTTGAAAACCCACCACCTGAAATAAAGAGACTTAGCATCCAAGCACGCGGTTAGTAAATCGAATGCAGCGTACCTACAAACGCTGCGCCGGTTCTGCCTATGTTCTCTGCAGAACCCGTCGTCGCTTCGGTACTGGTCCCGAGTGGCCTCGCTCATGGCTCACTAAGCCTGCCTGACTAAGGCACTCGCGACCGCATGTTCTACAGCACCATGCACTTGATGTCGATGGAGTACAATTCATCGGTGCTTGCCGCTTCCGCAAATGCCGCTTCTTCTCTGCATGCATGAGGGCTTTCTCCCGCACTTCATCAGCTACTGCCTTCGTGATTAGATCGCGCCATGCACCACGATCAACCGCCTTCGATTCCCATGATCTGCAACCAAGGTTAGAACGTGCGAGGCTCACTTTTATCATGTCCTGGTAACGTAACTTTGGTTTCCCCACGTGCCGCTTCCCAATACTCAGCTGACCATATAAGAGTTGTTTCGGTATCCGCGTCGAATCCATACGGCTCACATGACCGAGCCATCTCAGGTGTCTCAATAAAAGTATGCAGTCCACTGCATACATCCCACTTCGGCGCAAAACTTCCGTGTCTGCAACTCTGTCGCCCCAACCGATCCGCAAAATTCGTCGCAGACACTGCTGATGGAACCGCTCGAGATAGCGCACATCCCGACGGTACATCGTCCACGTTTCACTGCCGTATAGAAGAACGGACAGTACCATGGATTTGTACACCATCAGCTTCGTGCCAATGGTGAGCTGATGGTTGTTCCACACTCGGTACTCAAGCTTCCCGAATGCTGCCGCTGCCTTCGACACGCGAATACGCAGCTCAACGTGTAGCTACTAATCAGTCGACATCACACTCCCAAGATAGCTGAAACGGGAGGTGATTTCCAATACTTCAGCACCAATGCTGATTCGCGGCAATATTGAAGATTGCACCGCCGGTGAAGGCTGAAAGAGACAGACAGTTTTGCTTGTGTTGATGGTGAGCCCGAATTTGGCCGCTGTCGAAGCCAGAGCACTAGTCATGTGCTGCAACTCATCCGCGCTGTGTGAAAACAACGAACAGTCGTCAGCAAACAGCAACATACGGATACTCGTCTCACAAACTAGAGTTCTCGCACCGAAACGACGGATCTTCAGCAACCCACCATCAATACGGTGCTCCACACGAACACCGTAAGCACAAGCCGCATCAAAAGCACAAGACAACATTGCATGAAGATAGATATTAAACAGGGCAGGAGCTAAGACACAGCGTTGCTTCACACCAGAGACAACTACAAAGTCATCCGAGGTCTCTCCACTCAGCTGCACCCTCGCTCGCATACCACTGTGCAGACATTCAATTACGCAGGCAACCAAACTTACCCAACACCAGCCACAATGCCTCGCGGTTCACCGTATCAAATGCCTTGGTGAAATCAACAAAAAGCGAGTACAATGGCTGGTGTCGTTCTCTGCACTTATCTTGCAACCGACGAGCCGCAAACACCACATCTATAGTGCTGCGACCCGAACGGAATCCACACTGCTCCTCCGCCACGTTAGGTTCCACAACCTGACTGACGAGGCGGTTGAGCAGGATTCGGGCAATCACCTTGCCTACACAACTCAGCAAGTTGATGCCACGATCATTCGTGCAACATTGCTTGCTACCTTTGCCCTTGTACAGTGGTAGCACCAAGTGGTGCAGCGCAGTCAACAACGCGGGTCCGCCGTGTTTCAATACTTCAGGTGGGATCCCGTCGGCTCCTGCACACTTGCCGTTTCGCAGCTGAGCAAGTGCTCTCTGCACCTCATCCAGTGTCGGCGTATCCGCCAGATCCGTCCTTCACATCGTGCTGCTTCAGGCCGTTCAATGTAGGCCAGTCGATCTCTGAACGGTTGTTCAAGAGACAGTCAAAGTGTTTACGCCAGATCTGCATTATGTCTGCAGTTTGGGTGCAGGTAGCGCCGGAACCACCATCGATCAGTGTCCTCAGCGGTTCCGATCTCGGTCCATACACCGCCTTCAAGGAGTCAAAGAATTCCTTGTGTTGACGGCGTTCGGCGTAGCATTCCATCTGCTTCGCCTTCACCGTCCACCATGCATTTTTAATGCGACGGAGCTCTCGGGTCAGTCGCCGTCGAAGTTTGCGAAACTGACTACTCTTCCCCAAGTCACTGGGGTCTGCAACATGTGCAGCAAATGCTGCATTCTTCTCTGACACCAATGCGTCAATCGTCACATTGTTGTCATCAAACCAATCAGGCCGCTTACAGTTTGCGCGCCCGATGGTCTCCTCGGCAGCAGCTGTCACCTGATCGCGAATGTGGTGCCACAGGTCGCACATTGTGGCTATG